ACTCTCCCTCCCCAGGGAGATGCTCGTGGGAAGGGACGGGCCACCGTGGTGCAGCAGCAGTGGCCATGGCTCAGCTCTGCAGGAGAGCAGGGGAGGGGAACTGGTTTTCCCAAGGTGATGCTGGAAAATACAGGGCTGGAGCACGAGCGCTGATGCTGCACTTTGGTGTTACATCCATCCTGCTTGTTCCCAAATCCCTGCAAATCCCTGTCCCTGCCACGCGACCACCCTGGAGGCAGGAGGAGATGTTCAGGCTGGGACAGCTGAGCTGCCGGCCTGGGACGAGGCTGCGGTGCAGGGTCCTGCTGCGGGGACTCAGCATCCCCGGGAGCAGTGGGAGCACTCCTTCTGGATTCCTCCAGCCGGGAACCTGCAGGCCGGTTCCTGCCTTCCAAACTGATTTTCCATGAAATTTGACCTTTTTTTTTTTGCCATAAAACTTGCAGGAAAAGAATTTTCTCTGCGGCTTCTCCCTCGCTGTCAGATTTGGCTGGGATTGAGCAACGTACTCAGAAATGGTATTGAAGAAGCAAGACAGAGGACTTGATTGCAGACATCTCATTTCCTTAGTAAATCGGGCTAAAAATAGGAGAGGAACATAACGGAGACTTCTTCTTCGTCTTGACAACCCCCACCCCTCCCCAGCTGGGAATCAGCTTTTGTCCTGAAATCTGAGGTTTATTGCTCCTGCTGTTGTCTCTGGGCTCCAGATGTAGCTAAACCATGGCAAGATGAGCTGCTGGGTGAGGTCTCCCTGCTCCCCGAGGAGCAAGCTCTCTCCTTGCTCTCCAAGGAGAACCCTCCAGCTTCCCCAGGACAATCCCTGTTTATCCAGGCCCCTCTCTCCAGCCAGAGCTTTGTCCCGGCAGCATTAACAGCTACAGCTCTATCTAATGCTGCTGATAACCCTTCTCCCCATCCAAGGTGACACCCACTTGGGTGCTGGGTGTGTGGAAATGTCTCCTGGAGGCCCCAGCGATGTTTACTCTCGACACATGATACGGTCTATAAATATCGGGGGGTTTTGTGTTACCCTGAGCCCCGTCGCAGGCAGCACCGATGGGCTGTGCAAGCAAAGTCACCCGAGATGGTCCCCGTGCCAGAGGAGTGACTAAAGCCTTTGGGAATGAGACCCGAATCCCTAACGCAGGCATTTTGCTGCCCCACACCCTCTGTCCGGTCCCTTCTGCTGCGGTTTCCAGCGCTGGTGCTGCCCCTGATGCTGCTCCTCGGGACAAGCGGTGTCCTGGAGTTTGCTGAAGTTTGTGGCAGGTCTTTTCCCTTCTTCCCAGCGCCCCGAGCACCCACAGCGCACACCCGGGGCTGCTCCGGCTGGGTACACGCACACACACACACACACTCTTACACCCTTATTAACAGCCTTGTGATGCTGCCGCACCAAAGCACCTGCAGAGGTTGGTTCCCGGCCCCGAGCGAGGCCTTTGCCCTTTGGTACCGACGGGATTGGGG